GCCAGCACTAATTTCTCAGTCCTGTGTATTTCTGTATCACTTCTGTCTGCTCCTCTTGTAGAAATTATTATCTTTGCCCTGTGTTCAAATGTTTAAATATGTAGCTTGGGTAAAGACACTCATTTTCACCAAATGTAGAGAGTGGCCATGAGAAACAAACTCAACAACGGTTGGTTGGTGAAGGTGTTCAAAACGTACATCAAAAACTATCAAGCTGTATACAAATGTAAAATAGTCTCATTATTCTATTCATGTCCTATGAGTGAATGTTTGATTGGTTAAAGCAGGTCTGGGAGACCTTAAATGGTGGCTAACACTGAATTTTATACTTTAAATGGGTGAATATTATTGTATGTGGATTGAATCTCAATGAAGCTGTTATTTAGAAAATAGTAGGTTAAATCTCTATGGATGGGTCAGTGAGTTTACTCTGTCCCATTACCGTGAGCAACTCTGGCCAGCGAATCCAGACATGCATGTGCCTTTAGTTCTTTTTTTATATGTTTATTTATTTATTTTGAGAGAGAGCAAGCACGTGCACAAGTTGGGGTGGGGGACAGAGAGAGGAGGAGAGAGAATCCTAAGCAGGCTCCACACCGTCAGCACAGAGCCCAGTGCAGGGCTCCATCTTATGAGCCATGAGATCACAATCTGAGATGGAATCAAGACTCAGATGTTTAACCAACTGAACCACCCAGGGGCCCCAACATACGTTTTTAGTTCTAAGCGAGAACAGATGAGTAAATCAGCAAACATCCACTCACACTAGATGGATTCTCCTATGAAACAGTCCTAATGAGACAGTAGAGAAGGAAATAGGCCAGCAGGTGGCTCATACCCAGGTGAGGTGGAGATGGAGTCCTTCGTGAAATCAGAGAACAGAGAATGCTTTTGAGACTCACCCATGTTACTGTACATATCACCACTTCATTCCTTCTTATTGGTGGGTAGTATCCCACTAATGGATATACCACAATTTGCTCATCTATTCACAGTTGAGGACATTTGGGTTGTTTCTAGTTTTTAATGATTAGGAATAAAGCTGCTACTAAAATGTGCCTGTAAATTTTGAGAGGTTATTGTCTTCATTTCTCTAGTCTAAATACTAGATACTAAATACTAGTGGGATTCCTGGCTTGTGTAATACATGAATATTTAACTTTATAAGAAACTTCCAAACTATCTTCCAAAGTGGCTTCGTCATTCCCACCAGCAGTGTATGATCGTTGCAATTCTTCTGCATCCTTGTCAGCATGAGATGTTGTCCGTTTCCTCAATTTGAGACATTTTAACCATTCTTCATGAATTTTTGATCTAGGCTGAACTAGAGAACACCACATTCTGAAAAAACAATAAATGAAACATTCTGCCAGCTACATGTACTGGGTTGAAGAGGGTCCCATCAAAATCCACGTTCAACTTGAACCTCAGAATGTGACTTTATTTGGAAATAGGATCTTTGCAGATGCAATTAGTTACGTGTAGATGAGGTCCGCCTTGATTGAAGTGGGCCTTCATTCCAGTGGTGGGTGTCATTATAAGAGGCCACGTGAAGACACAGAGGCAAACAGAGGAGGCTGCCATGTGACCATGGAGGCGGTGGTTGGAGCTAGCTGTGACAAGTCAAGGAACATCAGAAACTACCAGAAGCTGGAAGAGACAGGAAGGATTCTTAGAGCCTCTGGAGGGAGGATGGCCCTGCCAACATCTTGACGTCAGACTTCCAGTCTCCAAAACTGTGAGAGAATAAAGTTCTGTTGTTATCAGCCACCTAGTTTTCGGAGTTTGTTACAGCAGCCTTATGAAAATGATACACATGAATACAATCTACAAAACACCAGAACACAAAGAAGTTTGTAAGGTTATATTTGGCTTGCCTAAAGTTCTCAGAGGATAAAAATATAATTGTTGGTGTGAGAATATAGTTCTAATAGGTACAGATATATCATTAGCAGCCTAAATTACTAATAGCCATAAAATACTTGGGATAAATCTTGAATAATCTATAATTCAACTTTAACTCATCAGGCTGAACTTCCATTAAGTCCAAATTAGTAAAGACCTACTTTTTATCAAGAATCAAGGTCAGTCCAGAAACAGAGTCCCAACGGTTCCTCACTTATGACTGTTGAATATGTGAGACCCACATTTTGCAGAGGATCATGAGATAGACTTTCTTTCAGTTGGGTAGTTTGTGGTATAAGGTATTGCAACCTTAAAGGTTTTGTTTTCTTGTTTGTTTTTGAGAGAGAGGGTGAGAGAGCATGAGCAGGGGGAGGGGCAGAGAGAGACAGAATCCTAAATAGGCTCTGCACTGTTCATGTGGAACCCAAGCTGGGGCTTGAACCCATGAACCATGAGATCATGACCCGAGCTGAAACAGAGAGTCAGACTCTTAACCGACTCAGCCATCCAGGCACCCCAGGGTTTTTTGTTTTGTTTTGTTTTAATTTTTTTATAGTTTATTTTATTTTTGAGACAGAGAGAGACAGAGGATGAGAAGGGGAGGGACAGAGAGAGAGGGAGATACAGAATCTGAAACAGGCTCCAGGCTCTGAGCTGCCAGCACAGAACCTGATGCGAGGCTTGAACCCATGGACCGCAAGATCATGACTTGAGCAGAAGTCGGACGCCCAACCGACTGAGCCACCCAGCCCCCCCCCACCAGGGTTTTTTTTTTAATTGTAAAATCATTTGCTCATTTTCCCTGACATGGGTAGAGACCAGTTTTGAAAACAAAACTTCTGTGGCAGAGACAATCTTGGCTATGTCATTAAGTACACATCATATTTTAGTTTTAGCAGAAACCTCTTCTAGCTCTTGAGGAAGAAAATAATCCAGCCTTCAAGACCCTATTAAACTTCCTTACACAGGCAGAGGGACCCCTTTCCTGCTCCAAAGCTCATGAAAGAAGTTGACTCATCTGGTACCCCATTACTCAGAAACACATTACTAGCTCAGTGATGATTATATTAATTTAATAGCATAAAATAAAGGAACAGTCCACAAAAGTCAATAACGGCCTGTAACTTATGTTACCATGATTTGCTTGGTAGCAATTACAATTAGACAGAAATTGAGGCAACAGGGCAGAAGATCTGGTACAGATGTGTAAGCAGGAAGTCCACGTTTTTACAATCATTCCTCTGTCTATAGTATTCATGCCCGAGTTTTTCCCCAGTAGTGACGTGAGATACAGAACAAGCCCATCAGGTGAACTTTACAGGGAGCTCTGGGAAGAGCCTTTGACACTCCCCGAGCTTCTCCTGAGTTGCGGTCACCTTGTGCGCTGTGGTTAACAGCTGTAGCGTGCCCACTTCACGAAGGTGGCTGGCGAATACAATCACGGCTTCCATAGAAAGTTTGCGGAGCAAGGCTGAGTGTCTTCATCTGAACAGAGTCCAACATTGTTCAGTGACCCAGATAAAAGTCTGGTTTTCGCTCCTTCTGTTCCCCAGTCAGCATGCGCTGTTCTTTGAGTGTTTGGGAGAACACCGCGCTGGCCTATTTGTGGGGGACAAGGAATTATAATGTCCAGCCACCCCGTTCCAAGCTTGAGCAATTTCAAAGGACAGGGCCTGGGGAACTTGGAACAATCTGTACGACTTCACTGTCGTGGGGTCTGGCTAACCACCGAAACCAGACTCTCTAATCCCTGCCCCACGTGTGGAAAACCATAAACCCAAGTACTACAAATAAAAGGCCACGGAAGAGTGCCCAGATGCCCTTCGGGAAGATATGATGCAATCAGTTGAAAGCAAATTGGGGTAGGGGCTGTCCCTCCACCAGAAGCTTAGAGAAACAGAAAAAAGCTATGACCAAAATGTTTCCCTGGTTTAATTGCCTGCAAGAATGTCTATTCATTTTGCAGGGCCAGCACACCAGACAGGGACCGGGAGTGCCAGAGAGGAGCCAGAGCCACTGGTGTTGCTCAGTTCTGTGGGCTAATTAGATGTGGAAATCGAAATTGTGACAATCAGGTAGATATTATTTTCCATTGGAAGATGGTCAGAATTAGGCCAGGGGATCATGTAATGGGCAAATCCTTTCAAGGGAGCTCCAGGTCTCTTTACAATTTATGGTAAATACAGCTCAGTTGAAACTGACAAACCACGCACATGTCCACAAGCCAACAGGGCCACTAACAAACCAGAAGACTTCCTGAAAGAGAAATGAGACCTGATGGTTGTGGCCTGATTGCGTATTTGGGAACAAATCTAGAAGCAGAGCCTAGAGCCTAGAGGAAACCATCAGAGTGGCCTCTCCCCCTGTGCAGATATCTAATCCTGAATCTGGCTTGATTGACTTTGAGCAGTCGCTGGTACCTCATACTCCAAAACTCTGGGGCTTATATTGAAAAAAAAAATCTTGCAACACTGGGGCTGCAGAATTAAACCCTTTTAAAACAGATATTTCTGAGATAACACAGGTCACGCCAACTACTAAACAGTTAAAATTTCACTGGCCCATCGACTTCCTGGGGTGTTCGCGAGTTCCCCCCCACCCCCCCGAGCAAAGTCTAGGGTACAGAGTCCCCAGTGCTTGATAAGACAAAAAAAGAATAACAAAAAAAACCTTGAGAGATCAGATCAGAGAATAAAAGCACTTGTAACCAAAACAGTGAGTGTTGACAAACCACTGGGGTAGCGTTTTAGGATCTTTCTGCACCCCCCATGACAACACAGCGGCCCGGATTAGTAAAGGCACACCGCGGGAGGGTGTGTGACCCGGCAGCGAGCGGACCTCAGCGGGCGCGGAGCTCCGGGCACACTCGCCCGGTCTCTGCGGCCTCCCCGTGACCCTCTGCTCCCGCAGGCTGCTGCCACTTTACCCTCCAAACGCAAGCAGCGCCCGCCCCCTGGTCCGGCTGATTGACAGGCGGTGCGGCGACTCACAGGAGCCCGGCTTCGATTTGGCGAGCCCAGCCGAGGGAACTGTCCTACCGTAGCCAATGGGAGCCAAGAGGCGGGATCTGCGGCCGGGAGGCGGTGCTGGTCAGGTGCTCGCCCTGAGGCTGCTTGCAGGTGAGCCGTTGCAAGTTCAAGGGGCTCCCCTCGCTCTGCCGCCACCTCCCAGCTCTCGGCCCGGGTCTGCGGGAGGGAGCCCCCTCCAGACCCACCATCCAGTTGTCCTAAGCCCATGCGGATCGTCCGGATCGCTGTGAGGGTAAGAGTCCAGGGGAGTGTGCGGCTTGCCTGCAGGGGACTCTCATGGCTCCCGTGGTCCCCTCAGACCCCCCCCCCCAACTTTCCACTGCACCAGCGCACAGGCCACCTGCGGGCACCTGCCGGCCTCGGTGGGTGGAGGTCTACGAATTGGGAACGCAGCGTACGCCGCCGAGACCCTTCTCAGTGAATCCCAGCGGAGATGGGCGCTACTTCCTTCTCCTGTCGACGTCTCTTCCCCCTCTACACCCCGACCCCTCCTTAACTTTTCCTTTTCTCCCCGTATCTTGGCTCCCCTTTCCTCTATTTCTAAGGCTGTCTGTGGCGGAAGGATTGGAGGGGAGGAGGAACTGGACAGCAGCCCGGTGAAATCCGGACCCAGAACTAGGGATTGCGCTGCACTGTGCAGCGTTTTGTGGATGGAAAGGAACGAAATCTGAGATTTCTTTCATCCCCACCCCCCACCTCTCTGTTTATTGCTTTATGTCATCGAGGTGATCATGTTGGTTCTCCTTACCAAACATTCCTAAGCTGTAGGCAACACTTAGCCTTTGTTTATTTTCCTTTGTTCAGCAAAGCAGCTCTTTCCTTCTTACCACAGTTGCTAAATTAATTTACTTAGAAGAAAATCAGGTGTTTCATATAGTTGATTTTTTTTTTTGACCTTAAATTATATTTGTTTCATAACAGCCTTCCTTGTGTTTGGAAGGTGAAGGAGAACGGAAGAGGGGAGAGGAAACAGCATCCTCGGCCAGATGGTAGTAAACATATTTCCAGTTCCTTATTGGAATTGATTTGTAACGTTCCTTCCAGAACTGGAAACATTATTGACATCTGAGAAAAGAGTTTTTAAATTTAATTTTTGAACCATTGTCTGGAGACCAATACCTAAAGCAATTTCAGTTTAGGTCATGTCCTAGGTAGGGTGAAATCATAGTTTAAAAATACTGCATCTGAAAGCAAAGTGGGCATGCTGAGTAGTTTTTATTTACCTGTACCTGTAATATAGCAAGAAGGCAAGACAGGATCTGTTTTTGAGGTGTAAAAATGTCTTCATCATATTCAGGGCGCCTGGGTGGCTCAGTCAGTTGAGCATCTGACTTCAACTTAGGTCATGATCTCACAGTTTGTGAGTTCCAGACCCGCATCGGGCTCTGTGCTGACAGCCCAGAGCCTGGAGCCTGCTTCAGATTCTGTGTCTCCCTCTCTTTCTGCCCCTCTCCTGCTAGAGCTCTGTCTCTCTTTCTCTCTCAAAAATAAATAAACATTAAAAAAATATGTCGTCAGCATATTCAATTTAGGAAGGTGGCAAAAGCTGAATTCAGAGGAGACTTCTTGGCCCAAAGTGTGGATGGATCCAAGTTTTGGTGGGCTTATAAATTCCTTCTTGCAAGAATGTACAAGGAAAGGAGGGAATCAAAGATCCTTGCTTGATTTGCAAACCCATTGAGAGCTGACAGAATTTACATATGTGTTGTTTATCCATATGTGTTTTCTTAGCTCTCCTGACTAGCATAACCACATTTTAGAAGTATATGCAGATTTTAAACAACAGCCACTCAACAACATTGATCCAAGGAGAGCCTTTAATCCCGTCAACTGCCTTTTTCACACATATTCCTAAAATTAAATGTTGATGAACTTTAGCATCAGGAGAATTATGTTTCTGTTTGTATTTAATTCAGAAACTAATTGTTTTCATTTAAAGAAGGCTATGGCTTTAACTACTAATAAATGGCTGCTGATTATATTTCACAAGTATATTTGAGCATCACAAATTTTATGTCACTTCAAAAAAACAAGTTCATCTATATTCTCCTTTCTCCAGTAATATCCCTAACCATGATGAACCAAACATAAGGCCTTGGCTTTGAAATTAGAGGGATATATATATATATATATATATAATGTAATTAATAATATAATATAATTAAATTATATATATATATAATTTAAGCATTATTCTTGGACTTGCTAATGGTACTTTCCTGTTTCTAGATTCCTGTAGTTGGTCCTCTTACCCCCCCTTTACCAAGGACCATAATGATAAATATGTGTTCATAGGAAGTTGACTATATAAATTTTTCTGACCAGAAATCAGAAGTTTAAATCCTCTGCAACAGTTTCTGTTTTTCTTAAAAGTAAATGGTATCGGGGCACCCACGTGGCTCAGTTGGTTGAGCGTCCAACTTTGGCTCAGGTCATGAACTCGAGAGTTCAAGCCCCACCTCTGCCTCTCTGCTGTCAGCACAGTGCCCACTTCAGATCCTGTGTCTCCTCTCTCTCTGCCCCTCCCCTGTTCATGCTAGCTCTCTCAAAAATGAATAAACAAGTAGGAGTTTCTAAAATGCAGCTAAACTTAGTTTATTATGCATGTGGCTCCAGGTCACATGGGGCAACATAATTCTTCCAGGCTGTGATTTATGGTATTATTGAGATTACTGGGTATCATCACTGTTGGATGTGGGTAAGGTATTAAGTTTTACCAAAAAAATTATTGCCATTAACTTCTATATGTTTTTTATACAGATTCTCTTGCACTGAACTGATCAAATACTTTGAAAATGACTTCAAAACTTCTCTGGGTATCCTTCATACTTGCTGCATTAATATTTTCAATTACGTTTTCTCTCCAACCAGACCAGCAAAAGGTTCTACTGGTTTCATTTGATGGATTCCGTTGGGATTACTTATATAGAGTTCCAACACCCCATTTTCATTATGTCATGAAGTATGGTGTTCATGTGAAGCAAGTTACTAATATTTTTATTACAAAGACCTACCCTAACCATTATACTTTGGTAACTGGCCTCTTTGCAGAGAATCATGGGATTGTTGCAAATGACATGTTTGATCCTATTCTGAATAAATCTTTCTCCTTGGATAACATGAGCATTTATGATTCTGAGTTTTGGGAAGAAGCAACGCCGATATGGATCACAAATCAGAAGGCGGGACATTCTAGTGGTGCAGCCATGTGGCCTGGAGCTGATGTAAAAATACATAATAGCTTTCCTACTCACTACATGCCTTACAATGAGTCTGTTTCATTTGAAGATAGAGTTGCCAAAATTATCGAATGGTTTACATCAAAAGAGCCCATAAATCTTGGTCTTCTTTATTGGGAAGACCCCGATGATATGGGCCACCATTTGGGACCCGAGAGTCCGCTCATGGGGCCTGTCATTTCGGATATTGACAAGAAGCTGGGATATCTCATACAAATGCTGAAAAAGGCAAAGTTGTGGAACATTCTGAACCTAATTATCACAAGCGATCACGGAATGACCCAGTGTTCTGAAGAAAGGGTAATAGAACTTGATCAGTATCTGGATAAAGACCACTATACTCTGATTGACCAATCTCCAGTAGCGGCCATCTTGCCAAAAGAAGGTAAGTCTGACCGCATCGTCTTCTGGGGCTGGGACTCAAGTGCAGTGGAGTGGGGAATTTTTGTTTCCGTCATTGAAATATTACCAATGCTTGCCTGTGCATTGGTAATATTCTGGGATTTAATCCTTAGATTCTGAAAAGACCAAATCTCTTTTCTCGGCATGTCATTTTTCACTTTTTCCAAGAATATTGAAATTGATATTCTCTCTATGCCTACGGCACAAGAATTTAGCCATTTTCGAATCACTGACTATCATGAGAGCTACAGCCTCCTTTCTCAGAAAAAGTGAAGGGGAAAAACATACAGAATTTTCATGCAATTCCAGTGATTTTATAGAAGCTCTAAAGCCTTCTATGGATCCTTTTGCAGGACCTACTTAATAGGGAAGCAGTGCAGTATGGGAAGGAGAGAGCGTTGGTCAATCAGAAGAGTTGTTTTTCCTGTCTATAAATAGAGGAAATAATAACAATACCTTGAACTTCTTACAAACCTTTCCTCAAAGCCTCATACCAACCTCGTCACCTAAGTGTGACTTCAGTTTTAAAGACGGGTGATCAAGCTCAGGGTTAACACCCCCAGTTCACAAAGGAAGTGCAGAGCAAACCTCAGACTTTGGACTTCTATTTTATCACCGTCTAGAGTTAGTTTCGGTATCAAATGAGAACAGATTTTGAAGCTTGAATACTTCACAAATGAGCATCATATTCTTCACAAGAGAATTAAGAGGATCATATGAAACTATGATATGAATGCTAAGATATATATATGCACCTGAATACTGACTTATTAGCAAATTCAGTATAAAATAGCAAGTCTTTTGTTGAGAAAAATCACATTAACTCTTCAGTTTTCCTTATAAACGTGGAGTGTGTTCACTGTTGGGGTGTTGAGAGGCAGAGAGGAAGCCCCAACAAATCGATTTGAAAAACAAGAAAAGGATTAAAGGTCCTGTCCCAGATACATGGCTTGAAGCTTCAGGGAGTACTTTGCCACACCTCCAGTGTTTTAAAGAACTTTTTCAGGGCGCCTGGTGGCTCAGTTGGTTGAGCCTCCAACTCCTGGTCTCAGCTCATGTAATGATCTCATGGTTCATGAATTTGAGCCCTGCATCGGGCTCTGTGCCGACAGCATGGAGCCTGCTTGAGATTCTCTCTCTCCCTCTTTCTCTACCCCTCCCCAGTTGTTCTCTCTGTCTCTCTGTCAAAAATAAATTTTAAAAAATTAAAGAACTTTTTTCCATGTTACAAGCTGCTTTCCACTGCACATCTGTCCTTTCACAAGGGCTCTCTCATCCTCCAGTCAGCATATTTTCTGGTCTAGAGATTCTCTGCACTCATATCTCTCAGAACTTAGCTCTTTGTTTTCATTTAGGTATTTCAGTGCCCTAGAAGTTTTACTTAGTGCCACAAGTTGGTGTGTGTGTGTGTGTGTGCACGTGCGTGTGTGTGTGTGTGCGCGCGCGCGTGCGTGCATGAGCATGTGTGTGGTTAAGTCTTTAAATCAGAGTAGAGATTTCTAGTTCTATAGCGTGTCCTCTCAATTCTGTAAAGTGAATTTACTTACAACAGAAGATTAATCATGTCTGTTTCCCCCTCGAGATTTTCTCCTAGAAGGGACAAGAATTCTCAAGTATCTGGCTCTCTGTCATGTTCTGCCTGCTGGCATTTTACCTCAGTGGGGTGTCTGCAAGGAAGAAATGTTAGTTGACCCCTGTTGCCATGGTGGTGTCTTTGATTGTAACAGTGAGTGTCTTGTTCTGAGTGACTCTCCGCACCCCTCCTCTTTTAGGTAAATTTGATGAAGTCTATGAAGCACTAGTTCATGCGCATCCTAATCTTACTGTTTACAAAAAAGAAGAGATTCCGGAGAGATGGCATTACAAATACAACAGTCGGATTCAACCAATCATAGCAGTGGCTGATGAAGGGTGGTACGTTTTACAGAATAAGTCAGACAGCTTTCTGTGTAAGTATGTTATACTATTTCTTCCCATTCTGCACTGTTATTTGCTAATGTAGAGGCTATGGGTAATACAGCAGTTTATTTACTGATCGGATAACTAGTTGGTGTCATACATTAATAGCAAATCAAAATCAAAATTTCCTCTTTAAAAAGAGGAAATCTCATAAGTGTTTACTTCTCTTGATGCCATCAGACCAAAGATACACGGCATGCCCTATACTGCTAACTATAACCATCATGTTCCTGAGAAAAGCATAACTGAAATTTAGAAATTGAATTATTTTCTGCACCCTATTATGTTCTGATTTCATAATAATTTAATCTCTTTTTGCAATTGTTAGCTTGCTAGTTTTGTGTTTGTTTCTTTTTTGCCTTTCCAACTCTACCAAATAAGGCCAACTTTGTTTTGTACCTTGGAAACATTTCTAAAACGAAGTGCATATGGCATGGATAGTCATGTCAAGACGTATTTAATCTAATACCTAGCGATATAATTGTGGAGAATAAATTTCAAATACAATGGCAATCCCATTTGAAATTCAAACATTCAAACTAATGTGCTTTCTGCCATCCTTAATGTGTAATTGTTTTCTTGTGTAGCTATTAACAAGTTAGATGGAAAAGCCATGCACAGGATTTTACTCTTCTTTCTGGGGTCTGTCATTTGCACATTTCCTTTCAAACCCCCTGCCTCTCCCTGCTCTACTTTGTACTGCCAGTGACTGACTCCTACAGACTAAATTTCACAGGCTCCTTTGCAAACTGCCTTCTGGTAAGTGTTGACCTGTTGACCAATAGAAGACACTCGCAGGAGTTTGAAGAAGCCAGTGTATTTGTCCCCCCCGCCCCCACCCCTTCTCTATCTTAGGCTATGTCTCCAACAGTGACTTCATTTCCTCTGTGATCACAGCTGCCTCTGGCCAACTTCTCTCTCTACAGCCTAAGCTCTTACTGGGTAGCCCTGGCTTTTGGATTCTGGTAACACCACCTCTCCCCTTCTGTCCCTCCAGCCCTACAGGGCCAAGAGAAGAGGAGATGGCCACTGTTCCTAATCCTTGGGTAACCTTACCATCCCTTGTGTGCCTCCTCAGCTCTTCACACTTTTGTATCCAGTCCCCATATGAAATCCCCTCTGCCCCCCTTTTAGACTACCTTGCGTGGGCGGGCTCGGCTTTCCCGGTTGACATAGACTTTGACGTGACTACCACTCAGTTCCCTGGGAGTTGATTCTCCTCTGTGACTTGGATGATGAAGGAACCGCAGTGTATCAAAGCGATATAGACATGCTTTTTGCAGCATCGGTCCTTAGTATATCCAAGAGATGTGCGGAAATGTGGAACTACGTCCCTAACCGGTCTGGTGACACAAGGAAAAGCAGTTGGCTGGCCATAGCGCTTGTAGCACATATGGGAGTCATAGTGGCAACATGCATATAGGAACATGGCTTCTGGTTCTTCAGACAGGTTTTCCCTACAGATAAGGATCTGTAAGCTGGTATTTAATCCCACCAGGGGAGCTGTTTTAAGAAAGCCTTTAAAAATCTTTTTTTTTTTTTTTCAAAAAAATTTTGCAGGGGCGGTGGGCATGAGAATAATTGTTGCCTCTGTACGTTCAGACTTTCATGTGTGATGCAGATAGCTCTTATGGTAGTGGAGTTGCTCCGAAAGGGACTGCCATCTCTGAGGAGATGTGTACCTGACCGTTAATGTAAATTCAAGGTATTCTCTTGAAATTTTGGTTTGGTGACACAATAGAGTGGTCACCCCTATTTTTGGTAGAAAAACTTTAATAATGCTCCTATTTACATTATATTATGTCCAACATACTTATTTTTTAAGTTTATTTATTTTTTATAATTTAGTCACCCAGCTTTATGTTTTAATATTTTTTTAATGTTTATTTATCTCTGAGAGAGAGACAGAGGGACAGAGTGCAAGCAGGGGAGGGGCAGAGAGAGAGGGAGACACAGAATTTGAAGCAGGCTCCTGGCTCCGAGCTGTCAGCAGGGAGCCCGATGTGGGGCTTGAACTCATGAACCATGACATCATGACCTGAGCTACAGTCAGTCGCCCAACTGACTGAGCCACCCAGGTGCCCCAAGTTTATTTATTTTGAGAGAGAGAGAGCAGAAGAAAGAGAGGTAGGGAGAGAGGCCCAAGCTGGCTCTGTACCGTCAGCGCAGAGCCCAGTGCAGGACTCAAACTCACCAAGCGTGAGATCACAACCTGAGCCAAAGTCAAGAGTTGGATGCTTAACCAACTGAGCCACCCAGGCTCCCCTAAATGTTATTATTTATTCAACAAATATATGAAGTAATTATTTCTTCAACAAATAAGTTTTGGCCAGTACATTCCTTCTCAGCCTGAGTTCCACAAGAGAATGAAATCCTAATGTCCAAAAGCAATGGTTCTCAAATATGTTCCCTGGACCAGCAGTATCCAAATCACACGGGAACTCATTGGAAATGCAAATTCTTGGACCTACCCCAGAGCTCCTAGAAAATGTGAGGGTAGAGCCCAACAGTCTGTGCTATATGTGTCCCCCCTGCCACAGAGTCTCACGCATAGTCTCACTGCCCTTAGGCATCCATTATTAAATATTGTCTGTTGGATCAAGCTGTTATGTTTAGGGCCACTACAAAAGGAAGTCCCTACTTATGGGAAAGCGTTTATAAGGCATGAGTTCATTTCAAATCTGATTCTCTAGGAAGAAGTGTGATATGACAGTATTATCTTTGCCTTCATAATTGAGAGTCTAGATGCCAGCGTTTCATGGAAGTGAGCACAGCCATCATCTAGCCCATTACAGATTACCTAATGGCATATTTCCCAGAGTTACCAGCAATTAATTACCTAGAATAACACATCCTACTAGTCAGATAATGACTAGTGATTTCCTAAACCCAACATTATTTTTACTTGAATAAACTCAAAAAAGGATCATGGCATTCAGAATGACTTCTTCTGATGGATCATGCCAGGCAGACTTGGAACGACTTTGAGGAGACGACTAGGGGTCAGTTCATGACTTGCAGAGGAGTTGATATAGAATGTTCTCATTTGCAGTGGTGTGTTCTGGTTGCCTGTTTCCTTGTAGTGAATATGGGATATAGAGACTGATTTGCTAATCATTCTCACCGCCTTTAAAATAAAGCCTGATGGGGAGGGTGGCGTTGGGTGGTTCAGTCCGTTGAGCATCCACCTCTTGATTTCAGCTCAGCTCAGGTCATAATCTCAGGGTTGGTCGTGGGACTGAGCCCCATATCAGGCACTGTGCTGAATGTGGAGGCTGCTTGAAATTCTCTCTCTCTTCCTCCACCCCCTCCCCAGTTCATACTCTCTCTCTAAAATAAAATAAATAAATAATTAATTAAACAAATAATAATAAAATAAAGTAGTCTTAGGTTGCTATCTTCCCATCAGTGGCTGTTTCCCCTCGCACCCTGATATGCCAGGCACACATGCCTTTAAAATGCAGTTTCTATTATGCAGGAATTTTCGACCTTCAGTTTTATATCTCTTGATCAATGAGAAGACTTCTAAAGTTTTTATGTGTAGCCACACAAGCACACACAGTGCTAAATTGTATTTTGATCCAAACCACCAACGTCGCTAGTGGATTGTAGCTGTCACTGGGGATTTGATTTTTGTGGCGTCTTTTGTTTCCTTAATTTGTGTTGCCCCTTTTGTTGGTAATCATGACTTGATTGTCTTTATGACTAATAATAGCTTTATCCCTTTATCTTTAGAGCATAATTGGAGCAAATATTTGCTGAATATTAGTTGACCTGCCACAAAAAAACAAAAAAACAAAAAACAGTCACTCATTTCTCCCTGACTTTGCTCAGCTTTACTCTTTGCTCTTCCTCCTCTGCTCTTTCTGGTAGCTTCAGCCTGTGAGAAAGATTTGTGGTCATTTGAGTTTTCATTTTCTAAAGTGAACTGTGATGTTTGCAACTAAAGAGATTGCTCATAAAAGATTATCTTCTTTTAAAAGACAAATTAAATAGATCTCGTGTTTCAGTTCAGAAATTCGGTGACACAAATTTTATTTTTCCTTTTCCTCCCATCTGGTTGGCTAACTTACTCATTTGTCTTCTCTTTCCAGTGGGCAACCATGGTTACGATAATGCATTAGCAGAAATGCATCCAATATTTTTAGCCCATGGTCCTGCCTTCAGAAAGAATTTCACAAAGGAAGCCATGAACTCCACAGATCTGTACCCCCTGCTCTGTCACCTCCTCAATATCACCGGCATGCCACACAACGGGTCATTCAGGAATGTCCAGGATCTGCTCCGTCCCACAGCCCCAAGCGTGGCTCCTCGCACGCAGAGTCCTACACTCATCCATGGTAGCGTCAAGCCGGGGGAGGATGAGCACGAGGCGTCCTACGCGTACTTCCTAGGGGTCTCTCTTGGCAGCGTTCTGGTGATCGTATTTTTTATCGTTTTCCTTAAACATTTAATTCGCAGCCAAACACCTGCCTTACCAGACATGCAGGCTGAAATAGCCCAACCCTTATTACAAGCCTAATGCTACTTGGAAGTGGAGGTTGTACAATGATGTCAGTGTTTCAAGGTTTCAAATTCTAGGAAATGAATTTCAGACATTTGCACAGATCATTAAACAGTTATAAACATATACAGGCACAGCCACACACACACACACACACACACACCTATAAATACACGCACCTGAAAAAGTGAGGAAGTATATTTCTGTTGTTCTCTCTGGTTTGGGGGTAGATAAAATCCTGCTTTAGTTGGACTTGCACATATAATGTATATATTTAGCAACTTTGCACTATTTAAAGTACCTTATATATTGCACTTTAAAATACTCTCCTAATGGGTACTCTTACGCAAAACGCACTTTATTGACAATTACGTCTTCTAGCTTGGTTGAAAAAGACAATTTTTTTTCTGCCAGCATCGCAGAATACTTCCTGTTCAAACTGAATGAAATTTCTACTAATTCCTGAATACGGTAGAAATCTGTCCCCTTAACCTGGGAGCATAAGAAAGTCAAAACTGTTGAAAATGGAATGAAACGTGATGACTTTTGTACATTGAATTTTGGAGAGATGCATTCCCAACAGGGGACACATCTGTGGGTGTTTCCTCTCAAAATTTCTTTTTAAAAGACCTGGGTTTTCATTTTATGTTTCCTAAAATAAATAAATAAATAAAAGCCTCAAATACTGACAAGTTCGCCCTAAACATGCTGTTTCTCTCATGAAATTCATTATTATTTTGTGATGAGTCGTTTTGCTCTGATTATATAATAATGAGGACACCACGAATATACATGTCATTCGTACACAGTCCAACACTGGCCTGTTCTGAACAGAAGAGATTGGGGACCGTGTCAGCAATGTCTTCCCTTGTTCTGTACTTATCTGCTTCTTTGAAAACCGAATCACTGCTAATCACATTAAAAATCAAATTGGATACAACGATGTTTGTTTTCCTTCTGGTACCGTGCAGTGAGTATGAGCGTCTTCAAGACTTGAGCATTTGCAGATCCAGAGGTGAAAGAGAGCTCAAGCGACGTAGGCCACTCAGTTCCCAAAAAGGGCCGTGAGGAGCTAGGAGAGGAGAATTAGGCGGGACTGTGTCTGAGTTGTTTGCACCGTACCAGGGCAGGCCTAAAGGACACCTGATGGCAGAAATCGGCAGAATAGCCCTTAGAGGCTACAGGTATTAAAACAAGAGGAACTGAGATCACAGCCTTGTTTAATGAAGTTTTTGGACACCCACTCACCGAGTGCTCAGTGGGGTCAAAGATGAAGCCAAGGTCACAGACTTCTACCACCTGAGTAGTTTTATCATCTGCCTGATCACTCAGCTCTTCTCATCCCAGCCACCAAAGCTGCTCTTCAGATGTCTGAAGTAGTCACGCTGGGGAGACCTATGGTTTACCTGTATTTTCTTAGAAGAAAGAGAAAACCCTGGAAAGAACAGCTTTCTTTGGGGGAAAAAAAACCCCAGCTTATAGACAGCTTATAGATAATATTGCAATTTTGTGTGTATTAATGCACCAGCTGGCTAATGGACAGGTAAAATGGTATATGTATTCCAGAAATAGAGGACAAAGCAGATGTAAGGAAGAAATATTTTTACCTTCAAAAGTACAGTTGTAGGGGCACCTGGGTGACTCAGTTGGTTAGACGTCCGACTTTGGCTCAGGTCATGATCTCTCGGTTCGTGGGTTCAAGCCCCGCATCGGGCTCTGTGCTGACAGCTAGCTCAGAGCCTGAAGCCTGTCTTCGGATTCTGTATCTCCCTCTCTTTCTGACCCTACCCTGCTCACGCTGTCTCTCTCTCTCTCTCTCTCTCTCTCTCTGTCTCTCTCTCTCTCTCAGAAATAAATAAAAGACATTAAAACATTTTTTAAACAATACAGTTGTGAGGCACCTGTGTGGCTCAGTCGGTTATGCTTCCAGCTTTGGCTCAGGTCATGATCTCGTGGTCCGTGAGTTCGGGCTCCATGCTGCAGCTTGGAGCCTGGAGCCTGCTTCAGACTCTGTTTCCTTCTCTCTCTGCCCCTCCCCTGCTAATTCATTCTCTCTCTCTCTCTCTCTCAAAAATAATAAACATTTTTTTAAAAATACAGTTGAATGAGAAAGAATGAAATCTGGCCATGTGTAGCAACATGGATGGATCTTGAGGGTTTATGCTGAGCGAAATAAGTCAGACAAAGAAGGACAGATACCATATGTTTGCACGTATAGGAGGATTAGGAGGAACTTAATGGAGGACCATGGGGGAGAAGAAGGGGAAAAATAGTGGGGGAGAGGGAGGGAGGCAAACCATGAGAGACTCTTGAATGCTGAGAACAAACTGAGGGCAGATGGGGTGGGGGGAGGGGGAGTGATGGGTATGGAGGAGGGCATTTGTGGGGATGAGCACTGGGTGTTATATGGAAACCAACTTGACAGTAAACTATTTTTTAAAAAAAGAAAAGAAACAGACTTAACCACAGAGAAGAAACTGAACGTCACCAGAGGGGAAGTGGGTGGGGGGTGGGGGTGGTGAAATGGTTGGTGGGGTTGTGATAAGTGTGTATGGTATTTAATCATTGATTTACTATATTCTACACCTGAAACTAATATTACACTGTATGCTAACTGGAATTTAAATAAAAAACTTAAAAAAAAATACAATTGAATTGGGGCAGGGGCGCCTGGGTGGCTCAGTCAGTTAAGCATCCGACTTTTGATATTGGCTCAGGTCATGATCTCATGGCCGTGAGATTGAGCCCCACATGGGGCTCAGCATGGAGCCTTTTTGGTACTCTCTCTCGCTCTCTCTCAATCTCTCTCCCTCTCCCCCCACCCCCTCCCCCACTCCTGCACACACACAGACACACACACAGACACACACACACACACACTCTCTCTCTCCCTATCTCTAAGTAAATAAATATATTTTAAAAAGTGAATAAGTCCATGTAATTTTCACTTTAGAGGAGAACTAGAGAATAGACCATCACCAGCACTCCAGGAAGATCCTCAGTTCTCTTCCCAGTCACTCCTGTCCGCCTACAGGAAACACTGTCCTTCCTGACTTGGAATGTAATGGAAGCATTTCCCCTACTTTTTTTTTTTTTTAAAGTTTATTGTCAAGTTGGTTTCCATATAACACCCAGGGCTCATCCCCACAAGTGCCCCTACTTTTAAATTTTATATAAATAATCATGAGGTATACTTTTAGGTTTGTTCTTTTCCGCTCAAGACCAGGTGAGGTTCTTCCATGTTCTTGAGTGAGCCTTGCTTTGTTTATTCTCATTGCTTCGTGGGATGACATTATGTGAATATACCACCATCTGGATTCTGTTTTTGGATACTTGGATCATTTCCAGTTCAATGTTACTATGAATAATGCTGCTCTTAGTATTCTTCTACATGTCTTTTGATGCACACATGTATACGTGGTTTTTTTTTGGATATATTATTTAAAGCCACTATTTAGCTTAGGTTTTCCCAAAAGCAGAGACCTAGGCTTGTATATAGGCAATTTTTGTGTCAATTGATCCCAAGAAAGAAGAGTAAGGAACAAGGAGCAAAAGAAGTGTGGAAAAGCCTAGAACAAGCATAAGTCAGAGAGTTGGCCACTATTATGATTGGTGCTGAACCCCACAGCACCTTCCTAGGAGCCTTAGGGAATAAATCGCAAGACTGTCTGCCTGAGGAATGCAAAACTTTATCCGTCAACTTCCCAAACCCCCCCTGGTTAGGGGTGGCTGCATGGGTACTAACTCCACGGATTTCTGGGTAGTGCATGCACAAGTGCCAAGTGTGAGCTCATAGGCACCCAGCGCCACCATGTCCGGGCCATAAAGAACAAGGCTAAGCAGTGTCAGGTTGCTTCTGTGGGGAGCAGCTCTGCCAGGCTGAAGCTGGGGTTAAGGTGTAGGCTGAGTGGATTTGAGACACAAGGGATATCTACTACAGCCACGGGTATACGGATTCTTCATTTTTACCAAGGTCATCAGTTCTGGTCATCTGTCTATCCCTGTGTCAACACCATACTGAATTATTACAGCGTTATGAGAATTCTTTTTTTTTTTTTTTTACAAATAGTTTATTGTCAAATTGGTTTCCATATAACACCCAGTGCTCATCCCCACGAGTGCCCTCCTCCATGCCCATCTCCCCCCTCCCTCCCCCCCACATCCATCAGTCCTCAGTTTGTTTCTCAGCATTCAAGAGTCTCTCATGGTTTGCCTCTCTCCCTTTCCCCCACCATTTCCCCCCTTCTTCTCCCCCATGGTCCTCAGTTAAGTTCCTCCTAGTCCTCCTATACGTGCAAACATGTGATATTTGTCCTTCTCTGCCTGACTTATTTCACTCAGCATAACACCCTCAAGGTCCATCCATGTTGCTACACAGGCCAGATTTCATTGTTTCTCATTGCCATGTAGTATTCCGTGGTATAGATAAGCCACATCTTCTTGATCCATTCGTCCGTTGATGGACACTTAGGCTCTTTCCATGTTTTGGCTATGAACATTGGGGTACATGTGCCCCTATGCTTCAGCATTTCTGTATCCCTTGGGCAAATTCCTAGCAGTGCTATTGCTGGATCATAGGGGAGTTCTATTGTTAATTCTTTGAGGAACCTCCACACTGTTTTCCAGAGGGGCTGTACCAGTTTACATTCCCACCAACAGTGCAGGAGGGTGCCCATTTCTCCACATCCTCGCCAGCATCTAGAGTTCTCTGATTTGCTCATTTTAGCCACTCTGACCGGTGTGTGTGTCCATCAACGGACGAATGGATCAAGAAGATGTGGNAGTGTGGTTTTGATTTGTATTTCCCTGATGAGGAGCGATGCTGAGCATCGTTTCATGTGTCTGTCGGCCATCTGGATGTCCTCTTTGGAGAAGTGTCTGTTCATATCTTCTGCCCATTTCTTCACTGGGTTGTTTGTTTTTTGGGTGTGGAGTTTGGTGAGTTCCTTATAGATTCTGGATATTAACCCTTTATCTGATATGTCATTTGCAACTATCTTTTCCCATTCCGTTGGTTGCCCATTAGTTTTGTGGGTTGTTTCCTTTGCTGTGCAGAGCGTTATGAGAATTCTTGACAGCTGATAGAGTAAGTGCTATCACTTTATCCTTCTGCAAGATTGTCTTGGCCCTTTGCATTTCTTTTTTTTAATGTTTAATTTTTTAGAGAGAGAGAACATGAGCTGGGGAGGGGCAGAGAGTGAGGGGGAGAGAGAGAATGCCATGCAGGCTCTGTGTTGTCAGCACAGAGCCCGATGCAGAGCTCTATCCCACAAACCTCGAGATCATGGCCTGAGCTGAGGTCAAGAGTTGGGTGCTCGACCACCTGAGCCCCCCAGATGCTCTGGCCCTTTGCCTTTCTGCATAAATTTAAGTCAGCTTATAGAATCTATAAACATTAAATAAAACTGCTGAAATTGCTTGGATGCAATGACCAATTTGAGGAGAATTGATGATCTTTACACTATTGAATCTTTCAACCTAGAAAGATGTACAGCTTTCTACTATTTTGGTCTTTCTCAATTCCTCTCGATGCTCTAACTTCCTGTGTAAAAATTTGCGTGTATTTTGTTAGGCTTATCCTGAGATAGTTCACACTTATTGATACCAGAATAAATGATACTGGTTTTAAACTTTTGTTTTCTGTTGATATATAAAAATACCCTTGATTTTTTAATATATTGACCATATATCCAGCAACTTTGTTAAGCTTCTAGTTTGTCTGATTCCTTTGGATCTTCTGTGTGTATAATCATGTCATCTGTGGATATAACAGCTTTATTATTCTTCACTTCTCAAATGATTTCTTTCTCTTCCCTTACCGAGTTGCTACTGCCTCGAATGCAATGTTAAATGAAAGTGATGACAGTGGACAGCCTTGCCTTGTTCTGGATTTTAGGAGAAAAGCATTGAGTATTTCACTATTCAGTCTATTAGCTGTCTG